GTTTTACTTTTTTTTCCCCCCCAATTCTCTCCCCCATCCCACCATGGGGGAGGAGGGTGAGCGAGCGGCTGTGTGGAGCTTAGTTGCACCGGGGTTAAACCACGACAAATTCCTACCCTTCAAATTAATTGTTAAGTAATTTCATATGATTAACTTCCTTTTGTATCTCTTCTGTTCTCTCTTATTCACATACGGAACCATGTAATTTAATATTAGATTATCAAATCCAAATTACGGTTTACATGAGTGTTTTATTCTGAAGTATTGTCTACATATAACCCACAGTAGGAATTTCTAACTACTTTTAAATAAATTATTTATTTTTTTCCCCCCTTTTAGGTAGATGTGAGCAAACTGCTAAAGATTTATGGTGCTTTGGAATATTGCTTTTTGTTTTCAAACTAGGGTAAAATAGTCTAGAAATTTTAGAAGTGGTCGAACAGTTTTAGAAATTATTTTTATTTAGGTTGAATTCTTTAGGAGCTGACTGCAGTCAGGAGAGTCAGGAAAGCCAGGGCTCTCGGGGTAGCAGAGGGAGAGGAGCGCGTATGTTCCCCGGGAGGGAAGCTGGGCAGTTTGAGTTTGCTGCAGTTGCTCCAGGAACTTTTGCAAGCTGATGAGATTAAGCCTGAGTAGTTCAAAGTGTTGCAAAATAAGAGATGGAGAAAATGAGTTTCAGATAACAGTCAGACATGAGAGTGTGAACTTCCCGTATTGCCAGAGGTCAAAAGTTGGAGGAAGCATCAGGCAGGAGATGAGCAGGCTGAAATAATGGAAAACGATGTTTTGGGGTTTTTTTGTTTGGTTGGTTGTTTTTTTTTTTTTGTTAAGGCAAATATTGTCAATTTAAACATCACGATAGAAAGTCTGCTCATCTTGGAACACCAAAAATCTACAAAATATTTTTTAAGATGATAATGGGGAAAGGAATAGAAAACCTTTTCTATATGTAAAGAGTTTGTTACCCCTGAAATACAATCCCATTTGAGAAAGAAACGGTTAAAGGGTGGCGATGGTTTTTCCCTGATTTAGTTGATTGCCAGGCCCAGGGGATCTGCATGTGGCACTCTGAGCATCCTAAGAAGACAAATTCTATTTTGTGTTTGTATTCTATGCTTTTTGGCTCCTATAAATACTTGCAATAGTAGAATCACCGAATCGTTTAGGTTGGAAAAGACCTTTTAAGATCATCCAGTCCAACCATTAACCTACACTACCAAGTCTACTCTAAGCCAATCAAGGGTAGACTAGACTAAACCATGTCCCCAAGTGCCACATCTACCCACTTTTTGAACGCTTCCAGGGATGGGGACTCCCCCACCTCTCTGGGCAGCCTGTTCCAATTCTTGACCACCCTTTCCGTAAAGAAATTTTTCCTAATTTCCAACCTAAACCTCCCCTGGCGCAGCTTGAGCCCATTTCCTCTCGTCCTATCGCTAACTACGTGGGAGAAGAGACCAACACCCACACTACTAGTAGTGTGTGATATTAAAATGTGTGGCAAGAAGAGACTCGAAGTGAATAAACAAACTGTTTTTTATTTTAACCTTTGCTTCCGGATGGCTCATTTTATTATCTGACCCATTGTAAATCAATTGGAGATCTTCTGAAGTTGGGAACATTAACCTCTGGTTTTAGTGGGTGGTGTTTAATGGTTAGAAAAACCTTGCGTGTGTATTGCGTTGTTTCAAAACTCGCTCGCTGATTAATGCAACCTTTGTTAACAGTTATCTTAGATTCTAGAATAAATATGCTGACAGGAATGAATATATGTTATGTGTTACTGTGAATATCAGAATAAATATTTACAGATTTGGTGAGATAAGTACGTAAGGTCACAAAAGATATACAAGGGTTTCTGCGTTCGTTGTCACCTGTGTTTTGGGCCAGTGATTTATTCCACAATTTGATGTTTGTTTTTTTTTTTTTTATAGCCGAAAACTGTTCCGGCTACTGCACGTGTGCTCACTGTCTGGAGCAGCCCGGCTGCGGCTGGTGCACCGATCCGAGCAACACGGGCAAGGGGAAGTGCATCGAAGGCTCCTATCGAGGTCCAGTCAAGATGCCAACCCCGTCTGCAACAGGGAAACACAGCTTGGAGCCCGTCCTTAATGTCAGCATGTGTCCTGTGGAGAACAACTACAACTGGTCCTTTATTCAGTGTCCAGGTAAACGAGCGATGTTTAATTGTTCAAACAATTCAGCTGCAACAACAGTTAAATGCAAGGGGAGAGGCTTTTTAAGACTGTAGTGGTGTCTGTGTTCCCTCCTGTTAATGGAGGGGGGAAAAGAGCTTGGGAGACAAGCAAGCAATAACACATTTTGAGATGGAAGGAGTTCTGCAGGTATCTGTAAGTGAGCTGCAGAGATTTGCTGCATGAAGACTTATCTATGCATTACTCTAGAGAAATTTTTCCTTTCCCTACAAACCTTTACTGACTTTTAAACTTTTGTTTATTTATTCGTTTTAGGGTTGTTTGAAAGGCATTTCTTTCTTTGAAGGTTGATTTAACTGCTGGTAATTCTCAGGATGATTCTGAAATAATGTTTTTGACACCGAACCTATAGAATAAAATTGCTTGGACTGCTGCTAAACCCTTTCTTCCCCATTCCTCCTTGTAAATCTGTCCCCCCAGCTGCTTCCAGTCCCATCTGTCCAATATGCACGCAATGTTTTGGAGTTCAGTTTTCTGTGTGTTGCGTTAAATTTCTCGTTTTCGATACGCTTCTCTTTGACTTAATGTATCGCTAACGAGACTGCAAGAACCTCTTTGGAAGGTGCATGAAATGGTTTCATTCAGCCTCTGTAGGACACGGACTTCTGAGGTGCTATGTGAGGTGCTATATTTGGGCACAAATATTCATCCTTTTCTGTTTTCTTCAGCCTGCCAGTGTAATGGGCACAGCAAGTGTGTAAATGAAAGCATCTGTGAGAAGTGTGAAAATCTGACAACTGGCAAACACTGTGAAACTTGTATCTCAGGCTACTACGGCGATCCTACTAATGGAGGAACATGTCAGCGTAAGTGATGCCTTAAATCTTCCTGTGCTGAAGTCTCTGATGTTTTTTGCTCTTTACCCATTCCTCTGCTATCTTAGCTGAAATTATATCCTGATAATACATTTTTTCTTTCCTGCAAGCAAGGCACAATCCTTGTTTCTTCAAATAAAGATACAGAAACTGCTTGATGAAATTCTTTGACTTTTATTGCACAAGATAAAGATGATTTTGTACCCTCCTTTGTAAACTTTAAATGACCACAGTGAAAAATGCATACATTCTAGTGTTTGACGATCCTGATTTGAAAAGAAACAGCGTTAATCCCAATGTCTTGAACAAATTTCTGCTTATCTAAATTCCAACTTCCATTACATTTGGTTAATGTGTTGTGCGTTTATTGTTGTAACTGTCTGCTTCGTAAAAGGCTTGCCATATTTCACTGAGGAGTTGGCTGGATTTCAGTTGAGGATTAGGTGATCCCTGTTAAAATTGCGTTTTAAGTTTGTAAAGTGCTTTGGGACTCTTTGGCACAGAGAACATTTTTCGGTTGTGCAAGATCCAGTTAAGAAACCGGGGAAAAAAATCTATCTTGAAGGACCAATACATGTAATACTGAGAAATGAACACGTAAGATTTGAAGTTTTGACCTTGAACCTTGCAACACTCTTCTGAATTACTGCCAATTTTGTAGTATAGCATGGGGAGACCAGTTGTAAACCAGAATCCAGCTGTGAGAGATGATATGCAGACATAAGGGAAAGGTGCTTCTTGCTCTGAAGAGCTTTGATGGCGTATATTTAGGTGGAGTGATATCATTAGGTACAGTGATGAAGAAGGTAGAACAGAAATAACATTGTTTGGTGTCAGAGTAGTATCGGTACCTTCATGAAATGGGTGTGGGTGGTTTGTAGGCGTCCCGGAATAAATCAGTGAAGGTGATTAATGAGGGGACATTGAAGGCTTTGAGTTGCTCCTTCCACGTATGGAGACATTCCAGTAGAAAATACTTAGAAATTAATTTAGGACATTTACTGGAAGTAGCATCAACCTTTCGGATGAAGATGAGAGTCAGTAGCTGGAGAATGAATGTCCTGTTTCCTAAAGCAAGAGCAAGTAGATGATGGCTGAGGCTAGGAAGAACCACCTCCTGGCGACAGATTCAAGGAAGGGAGTGAAAAGATCAGACAGGGACAAGGCTGCCTTATTTAGGGAAAAGGGTGTTGCAGTAGCTGGGATCTGAAACTACGACAGATAGCGCAACAGCACGGGTACAAAGGAAAAGGTGCATCTCTGACACTTTATTTCAGAGCATTATCTGCGAGATTAAATACTGCTGATACTCTTAAACTCATTTCATGTGAAGATAATTTGAAGTGCAGGAATGAATAAATTGAGACAGAGTTGGCCTGAGAAAATATATAATTCTACTCTGAGCATTCAGGTTTAATCATTGGATCACAACGTGCCTTTTGATATTTGTTGCTTTTCTGTGTACGTGGAAATTGAGAGTAAGTTACTTTGGACTCTTTTGCATGAGGATTGTCCAAAAATAGGTTGTTGTTGAGATAATGAATGATAGATTAAAGTCATCCAGATGCCTGAAAAAGAAATTAGAAAATGTATTGAGAGATTGTGGAACAGCATTCATTTGTTATCTGATGAAACTAGTAGCTCATGTCAAAAGTGCTTTGCTCTCAAGTGCTTTGGGCCCGGGTTTTTAATTTGCTGTGATTTATCGCTATTTGCTGTGAAGGCGAAAGAATGAGGGAAGCAGCAAGCTGAGCCGAAAGACCGAGGTGGATCAGAAGAGGGAAAGCAGCCAGAGTGGCTGCTGGCCATTAGTAATTTTTGCTCGGTGAAAAGGTTTCCGGAGGGAATTCTTCAGATGAGGATTGGCTGATGAGCCAACTCCTGCGTTTTCCCTCCTCTGAGCCACGGTCCCACCTTCCTTTCCTGTTAATGATGTGCTGGTTCCACTTTTTTTGTGCATTTGTGTGCGACGTTGTGTGCCGCTCTGTTTTCAGAGCTCACGGTCACATCCGTGCTGGAGATGGTGGTTGGTACAACGCCGTCCTGATGCACAAGCATCCCTGCGTTTGCACACTTAGTGCCTAGTGTGAGTCCTGGTGCTTCGATGTGCAGGTTTGTAGCGTTAGCCCAGCGGCCCCAGCAGCATGGGGACCATAAATATCCTCAAAATGGCAAAGAGTCAGTGATGGAAAAAGTGTTTGGTATTTTCCATTCTGCTGAGCCATCAGGAGCTTGAGCGACGCTGTCGGGATAGCCGTAGCCTTTCCAACAGGTAAGGCTACGCAGAGCTGGAAGTGGTAGCGATGGGGTTCAAAAGCCAGGGAGGAATAAAAACAGCGGATGGAATAAGATGCCTCTTCCTGCTGCTCTGAGCCACCAGGACGGGCGAACGTTGCTATATCGCTTGTGTTGAAAAATTTTTAACAAACTGCAGTTATTTTCTCTGAAAGACTTGTTTGCATATCATCATAGGCATTGGTGTTTGCGGAGCTGGGCAGGTAATAACTTGATGGTAGGTAAAATCGCTCCTCAGCACTTGCTTTTAGGAAGTGTCCAATGTAGAGAAGTGTTAAGCAGGAAGGGCAGGAAATGCAGCACATCAAATGTAAAAATAGCTGCAAGGTGCTTTCTCTGCGTTCAGGATTTTTTGAATTTTCTGATTAAAGTTTCACATGAAAATATGCTAGCGGTAGATAAGAAAGTTATTTGCAAGAGAACGGAAGGCGCTATTATGCCTGAAATCAGATTGCTGCTGCGGCAGCGTTTCTGAACGCCTCCGCGGAGCGCTGGCTGGTGGCCCACGCCGAGCTGCTGGTGCCGCGGTCCTGCCTGCTCCCCCCTCCCAGGGCTGCACGGGGGCCGTGGAGGAGGGCTGAAGCGCTTGGCATGGAGAAATGGCGTCGGGCAGGTGGGTGAGGCAGCGCCGCTGGGAAGCTGGGCCACCGCAAACGTAGCAAGCGGAGCCGAGACCCCCGTGACCGTCTCTGAATGAATCTGTGACCCGTGGCTTGTGAAGAAGGTGGGAGGAGACTTGCTGCGAGGTGGTTCCTCAAGAGGCTGCTGCCACGCTTCACGGTCACGAAGCCATTTCCCATGGTGCTGGCTTTCTGCTCGAGCCTATGACTCTGGAGGGGAATGTTCATTTTCAGACTCCAGCCAGGTTGTCCAGTGCATTTTGTCAATAGTTTGTTTCCAAACTTCACAGCTGTTTGAAAAGCCGTGAGGAAATTTCTCTTTGTGCATATTCCAGCCCTTTAATGAAGAATCTCCAGTTACGGGGCTCATAGGAAAATGGATAAATAAATAGACTCTGTTGCTTTAAATAGAGATATCTGAGTGTTCAGTCTTCTTGATAAGCATGTCGCTCAAGAGCCGGGTGAGGAAGCATTAATGTTAGCGCTCAAGGTGCTGTGATCTGCATCTAAACAACGTGAAATTTGCAATTTCTCCTACTTTTTATGTACGTTAGTGTTGAATATTGAACGAATTTCACTTACCTTTTGCAAAGCACAAGGAAGGCAGTACAAGGCTTTCTCAGTAGTATTGAGAATTTTTTTTTTTTTAAAGTGCCACTAATGAGAAGTGTGTTTGCTTCACGGAATACAATTATTTTGTCAAATCTTCATGCAGTTTACTTGTTCCCACAATAGGTCTTTATGCTTCTTCATATTTTGTTCCGTGTTGCTGCTAGGAAACCACTCATCCAGATCTGAGAAGCACAATTAAGTGTCCCTGATACACTATAGCTTCTATTACATGCCAATATAAAGAAGACATCAAAAGGATTCATAAAATAAGGGCCAGGGTTGGCAAGGATATTCAGGATGGGGACTTCATGTCTTAAGAATCTGCTGGTACATTGAGTGGCGCATGTCTTCTTAATGAGGAGACGCCAGCTTTTAAAGCGTACTATTTCCAGCAAGCTCAGGGACCGCAGATGAGGGATCTTCTCTTTTGTGTACTTTTTCCCTTCTTATATTGTTCACTCACCCATGCACGGCTCCAGATGAATGCATCTTCCACTTCATTGCTAGAACAGCTTCTAAAAGTCACCTACCTTCTGAGAAAAGTTATATCCATTCTTCTAGTGGAGTGAACATTATATCAAAGACAACTGCTTGTGTTGGTTTTGTTGTTGCTTGTTGGTTTTGGGGTTTTTTTGCATGTACCTCCTGTAGTTCTTTATGAATAAAGGTCTCAAAGCGTGTCAACGTTAGCGTTTTAATTTGAATCAGGAGCGTTCTTTTGAAGCAAACCTCCCGTATGTCCCCACTGTTGTACCTTGGTTTGCATCTCGAGCAGGCTCAGGGTATATGAGCTGGTCTGTTTTGGGCATGCCACAAACCTGCTGTAGTCTAGGGGTGTGCTGATTTGCTTCAACCATAACTCAATGGCATTCAGCTCGCGAGACCAGGCTAAGCTTATTCTAAAATACATTGGAGCATGCGCCCCAAACCACTCAACGGCATGGACTTCGTATTCTTAGCACCGGCTGTTTTACACTGCAGATACACTGACGTTGTTGATAATGACATTATTTTCTCAAACGCCTATTTATTTCTAGAAAAAGCCCTAAAAGAACCACGAGCTTGGCTTTATTTGCTAAAATAGTCTTCTCTCAAGAGTTTCGAGTTTGACTGAAAAGTGTTGGCAAGCCCAGAACTATTCCAAATATTGTCTTTTTCTTAAGAGTTACGATATCCCTAGCGCTATCGTAACAACAAGACATGAAGTTAAATAAATTTTTGAGGCTAAAAAGCACAGTCTGATCATGACTTCATACAAAACATCAGTCCTGGAGCCCGCAGTCGCTCTGTTTTGACGCATGGTTCTATTTTTATCTGCCTTCTGTATCACAAAGAAACCAAAGAGTACCAAATGGGTTTTCATATGCGCTTTAATTGTTGATGTATCTCAGTTTGGCAACTAAAGGACTTAATTGCTATCGAATCTGTTTCTCTTGCTTCATTCAACACTGCATCTTTCCCCCCTCTGCTCAACAGCTTGCAAGTGCAATGGCCACGCGTCTGTCTGCAACACAAATACAGGGAAATGTTTCTGCACCACCAAGGGAATAAAGGGAGACGAGTGTCAACTGTGAGTTTGTTTCACTTTGTTATTTGAAATCAAAAGGCCACGCACATACCGGCATGGAACCCCTACGTTTTTTAACGATTGTATTTATGATGTCTCTGCTCATCTCTTCCCGCTGACAGTTGACTAACTTCATTGACGGTGCAGTCAGCCGTGCTTCCCCTGCGGGGACAACATGAACAAAATGATTTCCTGAAAATTTCCATTTTTAAGAACATTTCAACTGGGAATGTCAAGCAGAAGGAATGGGGTGAAAAAATAATGCCCCCACCCCCCCCAAACTATACATACCACTTTGCTTTATCCCTCGATAATTTCTTTTTAATTGGTAGATTTTTACTGTCCATGCACTCTGATGCTGTTGTAGGGGAGCATAAATGTATCTGAAATAAGACTTTGACATTCAAGCATTTTAATGGAGCAGTTTCAGAGCAACAAATTTGCTGGAGGTTTCTCTGTAACATAACAGAAATGCTTTTAGTGTAATGTTAGTGGAAATAATTTCATTCCAAATAATTTCATTGCCAGGTTTATTTTTAAAACGTTGCTCACATGAGTAAACATTTACAGGACTAGATCCTGGAACAGCCATAAATGTAAATGGAAACTTTAATTTTTGACTGTAGTAATCCAGTTCCATGCATTGTGAAGAGCTAATAAATACATTCCAAGTGGATGCAAAGGTTAATATCCAGAATTTTATATTTCATTTTTACTGCATACTAGTTTGACTTGCAGGGATTGTGGAATTTCTTCAGCAGCCCAGTATAGCTCAGACATGCATCTTTTAATTGTGTACCGTTATCGGCACAGGTGGTGTTTTCTAGTGGCTGGGAATAAATAGAATGGAAAAAAAAAAATCCATTTTTTAAAAAAATATGTATTCTTTTTAGGTGTGAAGTCGAAAATAGATATCAGGGAAATCCACTTAAAGGAACGTGTTACTGTGAGTACTGTTGGGATTTTGTTCGTTGATAAAAAATGTGTTTGAAGTTCAAAATACCGTATTTAAAACTAGTTATAGTTGCTTCAGCATCTGTTTAAAATACAGGGGATTAAGGGAAGGACTAAAAAACAGTTTTAAAAACCTTCAGTTTTCACAAAAGTATTGTTTAAAGAGGATGAAAATACTCTTCTTGATAAGGTCTGTGTGATGATTGGATCTCTCAGAGCAAACTTTTGAATGTTTTTCATGTGACTTTGAAATGAAATCTGGTCTTCTGGAGAACACTCTAAAATATATACCTAATAAGTCAAAACCGAAGCATGTCTTTAGAATTTTTGTAAGTGCAAAATACTATTTTTTTTTAAATTCTGTTCCATGTTAGTATGGGTAAGGTTTCAAAATTGCCACATTTTCTCTGAAATGAGCAGTTGGATTGCCGTGCAATTCGAGAAGATACTTTGCCAAGAATTCAGATTACTTAATGGAAACTCTGCAGCTTCTATTTGCAAATATTAGCAATGAGCACACGTGGATAGATGTAGTCTTAAATTACATAAAGATGCAAGTCTCAAATAGGATTTTTGTGCAACACAGAAATTATCAACATGCTGTATTTAGCAAATTTGAATTCTGCTTGCCTAGCCAAACAAGGGCACTGATGGCTTTTCATGACAGGCTCTTCGCAACGATGACCTAATTCATTGCTGCCGGTGGCAGGGGTGGTAAAAAGGAGAAAAAGGCAGAACTTCACAACTCTTACAGGAACAACCTTGTGCTATACAGATTCAGTCTCACTTGGTTTTCTTCCTTGAAAATTTCTGTCTTAGTGCTTCATAGGAGTTGTGGATAGATGTCAGGAGGTTGTCTAGCTGGTGCCTATCCAAGAAGGAGTCTCCAGGAGGCAATGAGAGAAAAATAACACCTGGTGTATAGCTTCGTATTTATTATGGCTTGGAGTGTCTCTGCATGGGTTCAGGAATATGTACAAGTCATAATACTGCGTTTTAATAAAAGGATACGGAGACTGGTGGATGTATCCCCCCCAGTTTGGCTGTGCAATGTCGATTAACAGAGAGGTGATACCCCAGCCCTAGGCAGACATGAGCGTTAGGAGGGCATACAGGTAGGCCAAAAACTGGTCCTGGCGTGCCTGGACATGATGTGAGCCAGAGCAGGATGGCAGCTGGGTCCATTAACGAGTAGCTGCTCCATAGAAATCCTCCCTGTACAGCCCACTGATGTACAGAAACTTATCATGCGTGGAACTTAGTCCTCTCCCAAGTGGGGTTTATACAGTCTATTTTATTTTGCTAGTATTCCCTTAGCACATGGAGGTATTGAAGAACGGAAAAAGTAAATATCTTGGCACGTTTTTTACAATGTATAGGTATGAACAGTCATTTAGATTAAGGCTGAAGGCTATTGCCTGGAAAATGTAAGCAGAATCTTTTTCCCCTCTAGGCTCAACTTAAAAGAGGGGGTTTTGTCCCTTTTGCGTGGGATCATGCGTAGGTCGGAGTCATTTGTAACAGCACGGTGACTCCTAGTTGTGCTCTCAGTGCAAGAAACTCTTCAGCGATGTCATGCCTTGCTTTGCAGAAGTTTGTTTTATTCCAAGACATGGGATAACTTTCTCCATGCCTTCCTTACAGATACTCTTCTCATCGACTATCAGTTCACCTTCAGCCTTTCTCAAGAGGATGATCGCTATTACACAGCAATCAACTTTGTAGCAACACCCGAAGAGGTAAATCTACTTTCGCTTTCAACTTCATCCTTTAGGTATACGTTTGTCATCTCTTGGCCATGGCGGCAATGAACTGTTACAGTTCTGTGAGTGTCTGCAGGCAGTCTCTTAACATGGCATGTACGTCCAGCTCCACAAAGCAACCAGAACTTTTTGAGCTTGGCTTGGCCATGCAGTTTCAAATCTTCATGGTAAAATTTCATAAGGAACCACAGTTGATTCTCTATGGTTGTTTGAACAACTGCTGAGCAACTCTAGTTTTGCTCATTGTTCACCCAATACGCTGTGTCTCTGTTCTTCCTGTTTTATTCTGTGCATGTGACTTGTTTTGTTCTTTATTGTTCTTTCCTTGGGGAGGAGAACACTGCTTTCAGAACACATAAATAGTTTTTTGCTTGATGTTATTTACATGAAGCAAATACAAATGCCAAGATTTCTTTTTCAGGGAAGATTTGTTAGGAAACAGTACAGTAAAATTGTTATCCTAAAAATGGGTTTTCTTTTTTTTTTTTTCCCCCCCCCAAGCAAAACAGAGACCTGGACATGTTTATCAATGCATCTAAAAACTTCAACCTCAACATTACTTGGTCCACAAGCTTTGCAGGTAAAATGAGCATGACCTAAGTTTCTTGGTAGCTTGTTTCAGTTACCAGTTTTCAACAAATGCATATTTAACTGGGGAAACTTTTTTTTTAACCTATGAACTTGTTCTGTAGTGGTTTTAAATGTTAGGCCTGGGGGCAGAAGTAAAATATTAAAAAGAACTATGTTTACCTATCTTAATAGTGTATTTTGGAAACATCGAAGGTGCAAATTTGGTTTTTAGTAATGCAATATTTTGGCATACAATGATTTGGATAATGCAATCCAACTTAAAATAGTAGGGTTCAGATGAATAGTTAATTTTGTAACATTAAAATTCAGGATGCTTTGCACTTTTTGTTTGCCACTTAAAATGTGCATTGAAACATCTTTTCTTTCTACTTTTTAACATTTGAAAACAGCTGGCACGCAGGCTGGGGAAGAAATTCCAGTTGTTTCAAGGAGCAATATAAAAGAATACAAGGACAGTTTCTCCAATGAGAAATTTGATTTCCGCAACAATCCAAACATCACTTTCTTCGTTTACGTCAGCAATTTCACCTGGCCGATAAAAATACAGGTAGGAGCTGTTAATGTGTGTGTAATCATTTCAAAGGACTTTTCTGTTTCTCTCAAGCGCTGTGGCAGTTCGGTGTGCTTTGTATTGCACATGCTGAACCAGCTCTCAGTATAATCCTGCAGCAGACGAAGGGTTTGATGTTCCTGATAAAGAGCAAAAAGGCGCGTCATCTGACGTAGCCTCAGCCCAGTGGATCTAAAAACGTGCTGTGAAATACAGAGGGATGCTTGCTTATTAACAGGGCTATCTTCTAACGAGGTCTCCGATTTTAAATGTGTAGATACTGATGTTGAAGAAAACAAAGACTCGTATAGCCAAAAAGCAAGCCCGGAATGAGAAAACAGAGAGGAGATGTTCTTAGTGTCTCTTTTTAATGTCTTGTTCTCAAAAGGCATAGCTCAAGGGCCATCCCCCTTTCTCCTTGTGCTGCCCAAGACTGGTGGTGCCTGCAGAATAAGATGAAGCTCATTCTTTACCTTAATTCAGTGCAGTCAGTTAACACACACGTCGCCTCGGGTGTCAGACTGACTGTGATGATAAGGCTAGTGCTGAAGAAGCGGTGGATGAAGCTTCGTGGATCATGAAAACACTCATAGATCACAGACTGCAATCACAGAGACTGCAACTGCTGCGGCAGTTAATAATTCAGAGAAACCTTGGCCACCTTCTTGCTCTGGGCTAAGTCAAGTATCAACCTGCAGTGTACTCAGAGTGGTACAGGCACCCTTTGAAGGACAAAAGGACTTCTAGGTCTGGAACAGAGACCTCAAATGAGGCTCTGTATATTTGAATTCTGCCTTTTTTAAGAAGCTTGGTCAAATGTGGGAACCCGAATTCTTCCATCTTCACCCTTATTCAGCCAATTAGTATGTGAAACCTGAGAGCTTCACATTAATTTACTTGATATTTCAGACATACCAGTTACACAAACTCACCACAGGGGGCACTTCCACCAAAGGTAATGCAAATGATAATAACTGAGCAAGAAAATGAGGTCCACCTGGAAAAAAGGTCCTTAAGCTATAGTGATATTTTTCAAGGCATTTCCTGAACTTTTTGAAAAATATTTGGAATGCTTGTGAAAGGTCTGCAGCACCTTGTGGTAAAGACGGTGGGGTTTAAGTACTTGGGAAACTCTGCCTTGTTGGTTGAAGAGTGGTAGATTTGATAGGCTGACTTCAGACTGCATTTCGGTTCTTTTTAGTACCACTCACAATATTGGTAATAATTTTCCATCTAGAGAGTTTTTACTTCGCAAATTGGTAAAGTCACAGTTCATTGTCAAGTTCTAATTTTTAGATATGGAGGAGTTTGCAAGAGCTGCAAGGTAAAACCTTGATGTCATTGGATACTCAAGCAGCAAGTACTAAGCCTCACTGTTTTCATTTAAGTACTGCT